GAGAAGCGAGAAGCTGGCGTGGAGGAGGAGGGGAACGAAGCTCTCGTGGAAGAGTGAGGCGGGGAGAAGGAGAAGCTGGTGCAGAAGGAGGAGGGGGAGAAGCTGGTGGAGAAGGAAGCGAGGCGGCGAGAAGCCGGAGAAAGAAGCTGGTGGAGAAGGTAGTGGAGCGGGGAGAAGCTGCCGTGGAAGAAGCGAGGAGGGGAGCAAGCTGCGTGAGAAGGAGGAGGGGAGAAGCTGGTGGAGAAGGAGGAGGGGGAGAAGCTGGTGGAAGAAGAGGTGAGGGGAGAAGCAGAAGCTGGTTGAGAAGGATGTTGGGAGAGGTGCCGTGGCAAGAAGGAGGAGCGGAGAAGCCAACCTTCTCCCTCTTCACCAAGCCTTCTCCCCTCCGCCTTCTCCACCAGCTTCTCCCCTGACTCCTTCTCCACCAGCTTCTCCCTTCTCCCCCCTCTTCCCTTCTCCACCAGCTTCTCCCCCTCCCTCCTTCTCCACCCAGCTTCTCCCCCTTCCTCCTTCTTCTCCACCAGCTTTCCCCCTACCTCTCTTCTCTACCAGCTTCTCCCTTCTCCCCTCCTCCTCCTCCTCCTCCTCTCCACCAGCGTCTCCCCTCCCCTCCTCCTCCTTCCACCAGCTTCTCCCTTCCTTCCCCCCCTCCTTCTCACCAGCTTCTCCCGTCTCCCCTCTCTCCTTCTCACCAGCTTCTCCCCCTCCACTTCGCTAACCAGCCTTCTCCCGTCTTCCCCTCCTCCTCACTCCTCCCTCCACCAGCTTCTCCCCCTTCCTCCTCCCCACCAGGCTTCTCCTCCTCCCCCTCCCTCCTTCTTCACGCCTTCTCCCCCTCCTCCTTCTACTACCAGCTTCTCCCTTCTCCCCCTCTCCTTCTCCACCAGCTGCTCCCCCCTCCTCCGTTCTCCACCAGCTTCTCCCCCTCCTTCCTCCTCCCACAAGCTCTCTAACCTTCTTCCCTCTTCCTTCGCTACAGCTCTCCTTCTCCCCCGTTTCTCGCCCCTTACTCCACCAGCTCTCTCTCCCTCTTCCTTCTCCACCAGACTCTCGTCCCCGCTCCTCCTCTACAAGCCTCTACTTCTTCCCTCCTCCTTCCTGCCCACCCAGCTTCTCCGCCCTCCTCCTCTCTACCAGCTTGCTCCCTTCTCCCCCCTCCTCCTCCTCAATCCTCCACCACGCTTTTCCCTTCTCCCTCCTCCCTCCTCCACCAGCTTCTCCCTTCTCCCCTCACCTCCTTCTCTACCAGCTTCTCCCTTCTCCCCCCTCTTCCCCTCCTCCTCCTCCACCAGCTTCTCCTTCTCCCCTCCTCCTTCTCACCAGCTTCTCCCTTTCTCCCCCCTCCTCCTTCCTCCACCAGCTTCTCCCGTATCTCCCCCTTCCTCCTCCTCCACCCAGCTTCTCACTTCGCCCCCTCCTATTTCTTACTCCACCAGCTGCTCCTTTCTCCCCCTCCTCCTTCTCCACCAGCTTCTCCCTTCTCCCCCTCCTCCTTCTCTACCAGCTTCTCCCATCCTCCTTCGTCCACCAGCTTCTCCCCCCTCCTCCTACTCCATCGCTTCTCCCCCTCCTCGTTCTCCACCAGGCCTGCTCCCTTTTCTCCCCCTCCTTCTTCTCACCAGCTTCTCCCTTCTCCCCCTCCTCCTTGGGCCACCAGCCTTCTCCCCCTCCTCCTGTCTCCACCAGCTTCTCCCTTTTTCCCCTCCGACCTTTCTCGCACCAGCTTCTCCCCCTCCTCCTTCTCTACCAGCTTCTCCCTTCTGCCCCCTCCTCCTTCTCCATCAGCTTCTCCCCCTCCTCCCTTCTTCCCAACCAGCTTCTCCCTTCTCCCCCTCCTTCATTCTCCACCAGCTTCTCCTTCTCCCCCTCCTCTTTCTCCACCAGCTTCTCCCCTCCTCCTTCGCCACCAGCTTCTCCCCCTCTGCCTTTCTCCACCACTTCTCCCCGCCTCCTTCTCCACAGCTATCTCCCTTCCTCCTCCCCCTCCTCCACCAGCTTCTCCCTTCTCCCCTCTCCTCTCCACCAGCTTAACTCCCTTCTCCCCTCTCGTCCTTTTCCACCAAGCTTCTCCCCCTCCTCCCATCTTCTGCTACCAGCTTCTCCGCTTCTCCCCCTCCTCCTTCTCCATCAGCTTCTCCCCCTCCTCCTTCTCCACCAGCTTCTATGCAAAGTGCGCATCATGCGCATACGAAAAGCATCCTATATCATATATTTCGCAGGCCGGTAAATATCATATATCATATATTTCGCAGGTCAGAAATTTCGCACACAAAGACGAGCTGTAGTCGGGTCGGGACGCACGCGAAGTGCGCATGCGCATAGGCGCGGGGGGCGGGGCTATCTCAGATATTTCGCAAGTCAGAAATTTCGCGCTACACCTGGGGATAGCAACACCCATAAATTACTGCCACGTAGCGCCATCCTGTGAGAGATAATTGCAAAAAGTGTTAGCCTTCAAAAATATATCATAAAATCGCAGCGGCGCCCGGGCGGCGCCCACATTTTGCGATTACAACATTTACACTGTGCTTAATTTATGAATGCAATTTTTTAAAATTCTAATTAGAAACCCTAGTTAATATCATGCATAAATATTCACCGAGCGGAGGACGTCAGTAAATATTAGCCAAATTGAGATTTAAGTCACTATTCTTTGTAGCAGTACGCTCATATATTGCCCAATGATCCTATATGATTTTAGCGTTGTTTGATTTTTTCTTTTCTGTCGTTTTCATATTCAAGCGCTTGAATTGTTTCCTTGAGAAATGTATCTAATTATGTTTGATCCGTGCAGTTATGAAGTATTTTCTTGGCAGTCAACGGCGACCGACGTCCGCGCGTCATTTTCATGTACATTAGCATAGGTGGGAACACAGGGCGTGATGCTGCGTGCAAAGTGGATATAGATCAGATTTTACCATGCATATGTGCCGTCGGCCCGCCCGCGACTAGTTTGAACGTATAAGATCGGCCGAATTAAGACAAATATCTTGGCAGTCAACGGCGACCGACGTCCGTACGCTATTTTTATGTACATTAGCATATAGGCGGGAATCGTGGCGCGATGCTCCAAGCAAAGGTCTGGCTCCAGATTGAATGTATGATTCTGGCCGAAAAATTTTTTTTGCCACTCAACGGCGACCGAGGTCCTTGCGCCATTTTCATTTATATTAGCATAGCTGGGAATCGTGGCGCGATGCTGCGAGCAAAGTGAAGCACGTAGATCAGAGTTTACCATGCACACGTGCCGTCGGCCCGCCCGCGACTAGTTTAAACGTATGAGAACGGCCGAAGAAAATTCTCTTGGCAGTCAACGGTGACCGACGCACGAGCGCCATCTGCACGCACATTATTATCGGCATAGCGGGGGAACCCATGCAGGGTGTGATGCTGCGAGAAAAGTGAATATTATAGACCGGATATTACCAAACACATGTGCTGTCAGCCTTCCCGGCTCCGGTTTTAACGTATAAGAACAGCCGAAGAACATTATCTTGGGTTTAAACGGCGACCGACGTCGATGCGCCATTTTCATGTATATTCGCATAGCTGGAAATCGTGGCGCGATGCTGCAAACAAAGTGAAGCATGTAGATCAGAGTTTACCATGCACACGTGCCGTCGGCCCGCCCGCGACTAGTTTGAACGTATGAGAACGGCCGAAGAAATTTCTCTTTGCAGTCAACGGTGACCGACGCACGAGCGCCATCTGCACGCACATTAATTAATATCGGCACAGCGGGGAACACAGGGCGTGATGCTGCGAGCAAAGTGAATATTATACACCGGATATTACCAAGCACACGTGCTGTCAGCCTACCCGGCTCCGGTTTAAACATAAAAGAACGGCCGAAGAACATTATCTTGGGTGTCAACGGCGACCGACGTCGGAATTCCATTTTCATGTATATTCGCATAGCTATGAATCGTGGCGTGATGCTGCGAGCCAAGTGAAGCATGTAGATCAGTGTTTACCATGCACACGTGCCGTCGGCCCGCCCCCGACTAGTTTGAACGTATAAGAACGGCCGAAGAACATTATCTTGGGTGTCAACGGCGACCGACGTCGGAATTCCATTTTCATGTATATTCGCATAGCTATGAATCGTGGCGTGATGCTGCGAGCCAAGTAAAGCATGTAGATCATATTTTACGATGCACACGTGCCATCAGCCCGCCCCCGACTAGTTTGAACGTATAAGAACGGCCGAAGAAAATTCTCTTGGTAGTCAACGGTGCCCGACGCACGAGTGCCATCTGCACGCACATATCGGCATAGCGGGGAACCCAGGGCGTGATGCTGCGAGAAAAGTGAAGCATGTAGATCAGATTTTACGATGCACACGTGCCATCAGCCCGCCCCCGACTAGTTTGAACGGCGAAAAAACATGTATCTTGCCGAAAATCAGAGCGCGACCGACGTCGGAGCGCCATGCATTTTCATGTATATTTGCATAGCTGGGAATCGTGGCGCGATGCTGCAAGCAAAGTTAATATTGCAGATTGAATTTAATCATACACTCGTGCGGTGTACTATATTACAGAAATTAACATTTCTAATCACGAACATATCAGCTGCAGTATAACTTCGGGATTTTTCTTACAAACAGCCTACCCAAGAGCGACATATATATTATGACATAAATTATTATTATGACCTCATGGTATATATAGCTCCTTGAGCTACCCAAGGCAGCTACATATATATTATACATAATTATATGTATACCTGCGTATTTGATTTAGCTCCTTTGCAGTACCCAAGTGTTTTCATTTTTTTTAATTTGCGCCACTAGATGGCAAGCCCCTTGTTTACAACAACACGGCCATCTATCTTTCCCGCGTTATTTTTCGAAGACAAACATATCTTTACTTTACCCTGCATTGAGAAAATGCCACCAACGCAAACGAAAGGCCGGACGACGATAGTGAACGATGGAAAACGAAGACGAAGAAGGAGAAGCTAAATGATCTAACGCGCAGGGAGCCGGCCGACATCGGGCGATTTGAACAGCTGATGAAGCAGTTCGCTAATTTCTATGCCTTTTTGCAAAAAATGCATCACGCTTGTCTGAGTAATAATTGTCACACAAATCAATTTCCTTTGATGTGTGCCAAAATGCTAATAAGTAATAGCTAATAATACTTACAATTGTTACCTCTTTTCACGAAATAAACATTTAAGAATAACGCATTATAAGGGCATATCCAACTACGGTTATGTCTAATAACAGCCAAAGAGGAACCTACTTGCGAAAAGAATCAATTAGACTTCGCGTAAGGTGACAAAGTCGTCACCACTTACACTACGCACTACGCAGTGACGAAATCCCTGACTAAAGGCCAAGACACACTGCAACGCACCCAGCCCCGACCGGACCGTAACGACAAACGACAAAGTCGAGGCCGGACTGGCGCAGCCACACTGGCCAGCGACAACGACCGACCCACGTAAACGACCACAGGGACTGGAGCGGAAAAAAAAAGTTTATAATATATATAGAAGTATTTATACGTCTATTTATACTCTGATTATATATATATTATATATATATTATTAATTATATAAGCCAGTGGGCTTACGGGTACGGTAGCCGCTATCTATAATGTCTCGAGCTACGCGGTACGGAGTCCAGTAGCTTTCATACGTAACGCCAGACAAAGATGCCGGCGGGTGGCTCCAGATTTCGAATAAACGCCTGGCCGAAATAAATCACGATTTGAGCAGTTTAGATGAGCTAGAACCCTAACCCTAACCCTAACGCCAAAAAGGGGCTTCAACGACCGACGGCTACCGTACCTCCAGCCACTGCGTATTATATATATAGAAAGACTTCTATTTATATATATAACACTTTTTTTCGCCTTAAGTCCCTGTGGTAACGACAAAGTTCACCCAGCACTCACCACAGTGCCAGTGTCAGTGGCACACATGAGCAAACGGCAAAAAACTCCTACTGCTGCTTTTAAATAAATTGCTGTAAAAACGCTCTATGTATAACGATAATATAATAAAGTAATATATACGCTGCATATTATACAAACGTCTGATGGCTGACCGTAGCCTTGCACGTTTTGGTTAGATGGGTTCGCGGCCCCACTATTTCTGACAGGCAGTGCGAGTTTAGCGCTGGGGACCAGTCTACTTCCTGGCTAGCATTGGTTTATAATTTTATGACGTAATGGCGATGTCACGTGCCGATGGAAACGGCTGTGATTGGCCATTTGTAAAGTGTCGCCGGCGAAAGTCGCTGGGAAATGGAATTTCCTTTCTAAATATTTTTGTCGCCGAGGTTGTCGCCGGTCGTCGTTGCGTCAGTGTGCAATGGCTCATAGGAAACAATAGTTTCAAATTTTCTGAAAAGTCGTTTGTCGTTACGGTCGGTCGTTGTCGCTGTAGTGTGTCTTGGCTTTAATACCAAGAGTAGATAATAACACATATATATAGAGATATAGATATGTTATATATAGATGTGTTATTATCTACTCTTGCTAATACTAATAGTAATGCTCATAGGGTCTATGTCCCCCAGGGTACTGCCAGAACGTACCCTGGTAACTATTTCAGTATTTGATATAGTTAGTTAGGGAGTAGGCGTAAGCGACTCCCTAGACTCGTTAGTGGAGTAGGCGAGGTACGGTCCATAATACAGGGATGAGATTCTTCCGCGGATCCGCGGAAATCCGCGGATTTGACAGTCCCAGGGGTCGATTTTGTGAAACGTCTAAATTCCTTGAGAAAATTGGGATGGGGGTAACAATGTAACAATTTAAATTATATACCCTCAACAGCACCTGACTGTAGACTGTAGAGTGTAGGCAGTAGACTGACAGCGAAGTATACAGTGCAGGCTTTCAGATTTGAAAAGTACAGGCGGACTACTAATGACTCCCCTAGGACACCATAGGGGGACTTTTCACGCTCCATAATCACACCCTTAAGAGGCATGATGGAGAGCTCCACTAAAAAATCACACTCTTAAGAGGCATGATGGAGAGCTCCACTAAAAAATCACACCCTTAAGAGGCATGATGGAGAGCTCCACTAAAAATCACAGCTTTAAAAGGGATGATGGAGAGCTCCTTAAGGATTAATAAAAGAGTTGATCGGATGTAAAAATAAACTTGTTTTATTTATTCTGATTTCCATCCTTAGAGATTCTAATCCATGTACCTGCATATTTCAGCACAAAATATCATCACAATCCATCAACAAACTAGCTAAATTACTTGTACGTAGTAGCCACGTATGTAGCCCTTCCAGCCCTACGACTGTTTCACGTCGGCAGAAAACCACTTCTCGCCACGTATAGTAGAAAACGAGCAGGTAACTTGTGGCTACCGTATAGGTACCTGTATTTGGATGCTGTTGTTTAGTTGTATTTATACATATATATAATATAAACCACGCAGGGTAGTAAACCAGACCTGTACCTCTGCATACGTTCAATCCAACTCTACACACCGACAATTGTTGTTGTGTTGCTAACCTTTTTGATACCCCCCTACATTTGAAGAACTCTATGAAGCGCTAATTTCAACATAATCAGACATACTTTTTGGTGCGCGAATCTCAACGCACTTTTTATCGAGGCGGGATGAATCGCCGCACCATGGCACAATTTCGGGTGCGCGGTGGAGCGCGAGCAGCGATCCGGCCCCGTTAAAAATGAAAGCCGCAGTGTATCTGTTTTTGCGTACCCTAAGAAAAAGAAAATTCTCGTCACAGGGCTGCACAGTAGAGGGGCAAACATTTGAGACTAGCTGAATCACGTAACGACCAGCCTGGCCTTGGGGGCCGGTTTACATCGTTGCTGCGTGCATGTTTGTGTGCAGTTGATATGCAACTGATGTTCATTTCGCATTGGGTTTTTTTCATATCAAAATCCTTGGTCGCAGCAAAGGCAGCTTATATCCAAGATTAGCTAAAACCCGGACATTTTTTCCAAAACAAGCTTGAATTTTTTCAGATAGGTCAAGAAAAATTTGAGAATTAAATACTAAAACGTCCCCGGAAAATCCCCCCTTGTGCGCTTTTCCAGAATCCAAGATGGCGTCAAAAAATTGCCTGCCATTTTAGGTCCCATAACTTCCTGGCTCCAGTTTCCCGAGCCTAGAAACACATGAAGTTAAATTCTAATTATGCTGTTTTAATGCCCAAGGATTTACTTAGGTACTTTTGTGAGGTTTCAAGTGAGCAAGTACCCGCAACCAAGATGGCCGCAATTTTCATACTTTGAAAAGGGTCGAAAATCTACAGTCTATGCTAAGGGATCCCATACTAACATAGATGTCTGACATATCCTTTTCCCGTCCACGGCCGATAAACGTGCTTACATCCTCCACTTCAGCTGCTCTCATAAGTGTCCCTTTATAGAATCAATCCACGGCACATTGGATAGCGTTTTGACAAAGACCAAACTCAGACACCTGTACAAGCCCTTCTTGACAATTGAGCAAGCTGCCACCGACGTAGCAGAGGAGGAGTGTGTTGAAGCAGTTGAGGCCAGATATCAATTTTCACAACTCCTTGAATATACCTTCAAGTCAGACAAAGGACATGGTAAGAAGCGAGGGGTACAGTACATCCAACAAAGTGGGTCTTCTACAACATTTATTCGAGCTGATAAGGACAGGGAACTGGACCGCTCCATCTCTACTGTGTGAGGAAAATGAAAAATTCCATCATTTTCAACTGCTTGCAGGACATCTACCTATGCAAATTGCCCAGGTTGTATTTTACAACAGATGGATGAATTTGAGAAAGACCAGCGACTGATGAGTAACAGTCTATTCCAAACAGAGAAATGGGTACTTCACCATTCGTCGCAGGGACTCATTCTGGAGCTGGTAACTTACCTCAAGATCAAACGCACTGAGACAGTTTCCTGATGCGGTCGCTGAAAGGCCTCGTGGAGGAATGACACATGGTAGGGCAATCAACCGATAGTACGTTGACTAAATGGGATCCATGCACTACCGCTCGCTGTGTTCCGCTTTCTGTGATGCAGCTCCGCCAACGTCAATGTTGCACGACATGCACTTCTTCGCAGTCTGGCATGTCCATGTTGCTGCATTCCATCCTGTCTGCATCCCACAAAACACCAGTTGAGAAGAACGTCCAGGTCAAACAAAGATTCCCATTTCCACAGGTGCGTAGACTGCCCATCTTGAGATCGCCATCCCCCATTCAGTAAAGGAGGCCAGGCTGTTGCCCATCCAGTTCTTGAACAGTTAGCATATGTCTCGGTACGAAATGCTGCCTTGCTGCCAGCAGCTTGTTGGGGTAAGCTTGCGAGTGAAATCAAGAACTCAATGAGCTGGCGCCTAGTCGCAAGCGCTTGATGCAATGTGTGCGATAGTTCATTCGAACGTTTCAAACTTTTGTCTGCTCCATACAGCGGCAAGGAATGAATGCTTCTCCGCTTGTTTTCACCTCTCGTGTGTGCCTTCGTTGTTGGCGGAATTATATCTGTATTCTGAACAGATATATTCCTTGGATATGTCTGTACCAACAAGAAACAACCGGTTTGCTGCTTGACACGTATTCCAGCCATCCAACATTTTTATTGCATAGAGCTTTGAAATGAAACTTCATCTTGTTGTTTGATGTTACAAAGATGCAAGCCTGGGTTCGTAGTAAAGTAGTCCCATGTCAATCACCGGGTAATGATGTTCTGGAAGTGTTTGCTGGCCTCGCCTCTATTCAGCTTCTTTTGTGGATGCCCTTACCCCCCTATCCGTCAAACACGGCACGTTTTTAGCTCCGTAATGCTCAAGGATTTGCGAAATGTACTGGACTGATGCATCCCAGCATAGGTAGAACGGTTAGGGCCAGACCAACAGATTGGAGAGAAAAGTGACCGCATTCTAGAACATCAGAATCAATTTTCAGGATAAGGCTGTTGGGTTGCGTGAATTCTTTCAACAGAAGTCCCAAAGAACTCTTGTTGGGAATTCGCATCACACCATCTTGGAAGAGCAAAGGTGGCTTGGGGGAGCAAGTTCTTAAATACGCCAAAAGAGAGTTTCATCCTC